TTTTTTCGAGAATGACTCGATGTTCTAAAAGAAATAGAGGAAAGCAGCTCGCGACACGGAATAGCGGTAACTTATCTTATCGCAGAGGGTCGGTCAAGGGTTTTTTCTTCTATCGATCAATTTTTGGAGAATTTTTTTTCTATCTTTGCGATAATTTCGCAATATCTTTGTGATAATTTCGTGATCTCTTTTCCGTCGTCGACAGCACATTTCAATTGAATACATCATGAATTCAGCGTCCTTTTTTAGCGTCATGTCTTTCAATCAAATTACGAACAGCTGCTCATGTATTTTTTGTCAACACACTCGGAGTCACACACTTTAACACTCTCGTCAGGTTTGTTTTTCCTTAAGACTCTTAGTCATCAGTCTACAAATTATCTAACCCGGAAAACCGTCACCATTTCTCGACAAGAATAGAAAATATTCCTAAATGTTTTATGAAAAAGTGTATTTATCCTCTCTTCACACATGACTAATCCAATGCACTGTGCTATTTTTAATTATTTTATACTGGAAAAAAAAAAACCATAATATAAACCATTTCTTCTTTTTGTCGGTTGATCTCTCAAAAATGTATTTAGACACATTTTGCCCGCGGGAGAGAGAGATCTTGAGCGTCTTAGCGTCTGGATATGAAATTAATAATTAGATTATGGATTTTATAGACGAACTAAAGTTACGATTACTAGAGTTTTATTACAGTTCTCTTTCCTGTCGAGATAACCGGATACATCTGTGTGCTTGAATGAATTTGTTTACTACAATAAGAGACATTTTCTTTCCTACTCTCCACACATGAAAAAAATTCGATTGCTTATCAACAATTTCCACTCCACTAGATTTAATTATGTTGCCCGTGAAACTGAGATCATTCGAGGCGTAGAGGTACTTAATATTCAAATCTATGTCCTATTGGAAACTGTCGGAAAGAACTCAGCTGTTTTCATCGTCCTCTTGTACAAAGTTGTATGATATTGATATCGATGAAATATCAGAATTTCTGTTTCGAAAACATAATATCTTTACCAAGCGCGGTGAACGTTCCGCTTATCTCTTTGCACATGCAGATGAAAATGACAGCATGGCAACCCGCTTTACCAAAATGGCGGTTTTACTTTTCACTAAGGGCTTTTTTTGTATTACGAATATCAAGCCTGGTTCAACCTTAAGTTCATAGGAAAAAATTATTTCGTGATATTTTTTCATGTCAAAATTAAAGTTTCTTGTCCACGGGCTGAGTTACCGTGCAGGTGTCTTGTGCATTCGGTGCTCTTCAAGTATATTTTAAATTATATGTGATTTAAATGAGCGATCGTTATCCTTATAATAAATGGCAAAATAACTCGATTAAACTTTGCTTGATTTTAGTTTGGAGGCAGGGACAGCTGTACACTCTTCATTCATCTTATTTTTATTTTGCACTATTGAGGGCACGGTCCGTAAGAAGGCCACTGACTTGTTCTGACAAGCTCAAAAGTATAGGTGTGTTAATTTGAGCAATAACTTTAGAGCTAGAACTATCAGATTTGTAAAGAGTTTATTTTTTTCGTAAAACGGCAGGATATTTTGCTTAGATAGGATAAAGGAAACAACATATTTTTATTATTGGATGAAATTCAGACTTAACATGTGTGAACTTATGCTGCAAAAAGCAACCCTATATAATAACAGGGCTCTGTGAAGTATGAAATTGAAAATGTAAGAACGTTATCCTATTTTCCTACAATACTCCACATTTATGGCTCCTGCCTCCTATAAATGTCACTACTCAGTAACAATGCCAACAGTCCTCCTATCTCAGCTGACTAACAATTAGTTTCCGTATCTTCTCCCTCAACCTCAACCAGCAGGCGAGTGGGATCGGTTCGTAATATTCATAGTTCTATTTCTGGCGTTCGGCGGTTTCTTTTTTCGATTTTTACCATCTTAATGGCTGGTCCCCTCTTTGTGCAACACAAACGCAGCGCTTGCTGAAACTCAGGAATTCTGAATACATACACAATCGGATTGACAAAAGAGTTAGAAAAATTTAGAATGATCGCCATGTGATAAAACTTCCATGGTATTGATTTCTTAGTTATATAGATTAATATGTTCAAGATGATTATAGGAAGCCAACATAATAAAGCCAGTACGGACACCAGAAGTAGGGTCTTTGTTAAGCGTCTGTTTCGGGAAGCTCCATTTCGATGCTGTGAGTTAACACTCTTGTGTTGAAAATTTCTCCAGATGGCGATGTTACAGACACATATGATGACTGTTATACCCAACAGAACGGGGACAGAGACATACAAAGCAAATCCAATTGAACTTGAAACATAGAACAAAGTTATTAATGTAGACAACAAGACAGCGAATGTCCAAAGAAAGAAAATGGTGATGCGGTATGTTCTGGTGGATAATAAACGGTGTTTAAAGGGCCAAAATACGGCATAAAATCTCTCACAGGAAATAGAGGCTGCAGATATGTACGAGCCAAACAAAAACATGTTATCGATACTTGTGTAAAATATTTTGTAGGCCATGTGTTCAAAGTCATATTTCGCTGTCCAAAGCTGATAGTAGCTTCCGACAAAGAAAATGTAAAAGGGCAGACTGAAGGCTCCTAACATAAAATCAGCAAACGCCATATTCAAAACTAGGAATAAACTTTTCCTGCGAAGTGGTTTGGCAACTGCAAAGAGAACCAAAGTGAGCAAGTTTCCTGCAATGATTAGAACAGAAGATAAGATGAAAGCGCTGCATAGTGCGAGGCCTTCTGATTTGGAAGGAAAACTCCTTGTGGATGCAGATGCATTCTCCAGGGTTTTGTTCACTTCCCACGAGTCAATCATTATTAACTTATGACCAAATGAATTATGGTAAACAATTTTTTGTCTGAATAAAATGCTTTTTTTCAAAGAAGAGGAACTCGATCTTCTGCAACAAAACCAAACAACAGTAGCTGAAAAGTTATTTGTATCTCGCGGTAATGGTATTCAAGGTATCACGTGGTCCAGATAGACAAGACATCTCAGGTTAAACGAATACCGTCAATAAAACGGCTGTTCATCAAAGAACGTACCAGCATGTATTCTCCTGCTATAAAGACAAGAACTGCACAGTTTTACGCTTGTTTAAGTTTTAACAAATTTCTTGTCTGGCTCAAAACTACTGCACTAGTGGACTGGAAAGTTATCCTTTCTCAATGAGATATTCCTCATTAGTGATAGACGAAAGGTGTAATTATACTTCAGGATAATTAGCTCTAGACACATGCTGGTAGATGCACTGTTTAATTTTGCATAAATGAATAAAAATAAAAGAATCGACAATCGTACAGTGCGTTCGCGCTAAGGCTCAAGATGGAAAAATGCGTTGAATCATGATTACAAAAGCAACAATGGGGGTCATTTTCAATTTACAAAATTCTTGTTTATTGAACTTGGCCTTACCGACAGGTTTGTCAAGTAGACGGCCAAAATCGGCCTGTGGCAAATCGCAAGAAACGCTATTACCAAAGCCATTGAATACGTAACTTTCGGTTTTTCTTTTTGTAAATTGGTTTTCTTCCCCTTCTATAGGAGGTTGAACGTCAATGTCCTTGAGCAAAACGGATTTATAAATGTTCTAGTCGCCATAATCTGAGGAATTTCCGACAAACTACCTTGTATTGAGAATCGTGAAGGCTTTGCCGTTCATTCATCAACCTGACCGAGTGGTGCGAAAGGCGAGTGACGTGTCAGCAGCTGATTGGCGATATCAAACACACGTGAAAAAATATCGTATTTTTTCACATGTGTTGTTGCGGCTTTTCTCAGGGCCGGAAATCTTTTTATAACACCGTAGTTTATATGATAAATATATTTATCGACAAATGGAAAATTTGCCATTGGCTGATTTTGGCCGTGTTCTTGAAAAGATTTCTTCTCATGTAGTGAGAAAGACAGTCACCTACCTCAATAAATTTAAAGTTGACTTCTCTTTTCAGTAAAGGGCTATTGTGTTTATATAATAAACAATATGATAAATGGTTGCTTGCAGATATAAAATTTCTTCTCTCATGTTCAACTAGAAATCTTACAAGTTTACTGCGCTCACTCGTGTTCTATCGAGTTGAACACTCGAAAAAAATTCCATATTTACGCGCACCCTGGATAATTCTCTAGAGATATTGATGAAATGCCAGAATAATATTCATCTTGTTTCGAAAACAGAATATCCTCACAGCGCGAATTACCATAGCATTTTTCTTTTCACACATGACAACACCTTTTGTCATGGCAACCGGCTCATCCAAATGGTAGTTGTTTTTTTTTTCCAAGATGGGTTTTATTTTCATTATTATTTTGCAAACAAAGCTTTGGCTTAGATCTGCTAACAGTTCGGAGGAAAAAGTTTATCGTATTTTCGGAAAAAAGCTCCATCTATATGACTTCAAGTAGTATCAATTGAGTGGATCGACTCGTAATATTCTTAGCGTTATCACCGGCGTTCTAAGTGCAACCGTTCGATTTTTTTTCGATTTGTTCCGTCTCAATGGCTGCTCTTCTCCTCGTACAGCAAGAACGTAGCGCTTGCTGAAACTCAGGAATTCTAATTGCATTGTTGATAGTTGACCTTGTGGACATATCCCTAAGTGTTGATTTATATAATTCAGAACTACGAAGTATATTGGATTTCCACACACCATTCTCGACTCACACAGTGACAGTTCGTCCAGCAGCACCATGGTACTCCAATGAAATCAAGACTAAAGAGGGGAAAAAAAGACAGCTGGAAAGGCTTTGGAGGAAAAGTCGATTACCGCAAGATCGACTAAGTTTCACTGAACATACAGCAACATACAAAGCAGATTCAAATGTAAAAAAACACCAATAGCAAAAAAGTAATATTGTAAACAACAAGGCAGCGAATGTCCAAAGTTTGAAAAAGAATCATAATAATTATACGGCAGACAGTAAGGAGAATTGCTATTGAGATCTTGGAGGTGAAAGAGCTAAATGATCATGACTCACCTTGTGTTTACTGCGTAAATAGTTATTGGGTTATAAAATCACAATTCTAGAAAAATAATCTTACTAAAGTACCTCATGTATTTGATTTAAAACAGTGCGCTGATATTTATTTCCTAGTTGCCCACTGTTCCTTGAAAGCTTCACTCAGAGCGAGGATTAGGGCCAAGTCTTGTTCGCGAGTCCAGAGTTTTTCGAACAGACTTGACCGAAAAGGAAAGACTACTTGTGGTCTAGAAGAAAGCCGAGTGTCAAAGATTTGATAGGTTTGCTTCCGTTTGCGTATCTGATCTTCTTTCCCTTCCTCGATTTTCCTTGTTCTTTTTAGAGGATGACATGGGCTTCTTAAAGAAATAGAGGAAAGCAGCCCGCGACACGGAATAGCTGTAACTTATCTTCTCGCAGAGGTTTGGTCATGGGTTTTTTCCTCTATCGATCAATTTCTCTTTTCCGTCGTCGACAGTACATTTTAATTGAATACCTCATGAATTCAGCGTCCTTTTAGCGTCATGTCTTTTCATCAAATTACGAACAGCTCCTCATGTATTTTTTTTTTACACACTCGGAGCCACACACTTTAACACTCTCGTCAGGTTTGTTTTTCCTCAAGTCTCTTCCTTAGTCATCAGTCTAGAAATTACCTAACCCGTAAAACCGTCACCGTTTCTCGGTGAGAGGAGGAAACATTCCTCAATGTTTTATGGGAAAAAAAGCGTATTTATCCTTTCAGAGAAAACGTGCTTCAGACATGTGTAATTCGATGCATTGTGCTATTTTTAGCTATTTTTACTGAAAAAAAGATAAAACCCACATCTTCTTTTTTGTTGGTTGATATCTCAAAAATGTATTTAGACTCGTTTTTGTCGAGGGAGAGAGATCTCGAGTGCCTCAGGGTCTGGAAACATGAAAACAATAATAAAGTTATGGGTTTTAAAGATGAACTAAAGTTACGATTACTGGACGTTTTATTAGAGTTCTCTTTCCTGTTGAGATAACCGGACATATATGTGTGCTTAAATGAGTATATTTATATAAATAAGAGATATTTTATTTCCTAGTCTCCACACATTAAAATAATTCGATAGCTTATCAACAATTTCCACTCCACTAGTTTTAATTATGTTGCCCGTGAAACTGAGATCTTTCGAGGCAAAGAGGTACTTAATCTTCAAACCTATCTCTTATTACAAACTGTCGGAAGGAACTCAGCTGTTTTCATCGCCCAATTGTACAAAGTTTTATTATATAGATAGCGATAAAATATCAGAATTTCTGTTCGGAAAGTATGATATCTTTACCACGCGCAGTGAACGTTCCACTTACCTCCTCGCACGTGCAGATAACAGTGACGTCATGGTAACCTGCTTTATCAAAATGGCGGTTTTCCTTTTCACGAAGGGCATTTTTTATATTACGAACGTCAAGCCTGATTCAACCTTAAGTTCAGAGAAAAAAGATTATTTCCTGGTATTTCTTTATGTTAAAATTAAAGTGTTTTGTCCACGGGCTGAGTTACCGTGCAGGTGTCTTGTGCATTCGGTGTTCTTTAAATATGTTTTAAATTGTACTTTATCTAAAGTCGGTAAGATGGCCATTGACGTGTCCTGACAACCTTAAAAGTACAGATGTGTGAATTTGAGCAATAACTTAAGAGCTGGAATTATCACATTAATAGAGATTTTAAATTTTTATAACATGACAGGATATTTTGCTCAGATAGGATAAATAAAATAATATATTTTTATTATTAGATGAAATTAAGACTTAACTGGTGTGAACTTATGCTGCAAAAAGCAACCCTACACAACAACAGGGCTCTGTGAAGCAAAAAATTGAAAATATAAGAACGTTATCCTATTTTTTTTACAATACTCCACATTTATGGCTTCTTCCTCCTATGGATGTCACCACTCAGTAACAACGCGGAAGGTCCTCTTATCTCAGCTGATTAAAACTTAGTTTCCATATATTCTCGTTCAACATCAACTTGCAGGCGAGTGGGATCGTTGTGGAGTATTCTTAGTTCTATCTCTGGCGTTCTAAGTGCAGCCGTTCGGTTTCTTCCTTTGAATTTTACCATCTTAATGGCTGGTGTCCTCTTCGTGCAACATAAACGTAGCGCTTGCTGAAACTCACGAATTCTGAATACATAGACAATCGGATTGACAAAAGAGTTAGAATAATTTAAAATGTTCACCATGTGATAAAACTTCCATGGTATTGATTTCTTAGTTATATAGATTAATACGTTCAAGATGATTAAGGGAAGCCAACATAATAAAGCGAGTATGGACACGAGAAGGAGTGTCTTTGTTAAGCGTCTGTTTCGTGATGCTCCATTTCGATACTGTGAGTCAACGCTTTCGTGTTGAAAGTTTTTCCAGATCGCGATGTTACAGACACAAATGATGATTGTTAGACCCAACAGAACTAGGACAGAGACATACAATGCAGATCTAATTGAAGTAAACACCGATAGCAAAGTTAATGTTGTAGACAACAAAGCAGCGTGTGTCCAAAGTATGAAAATGGCGATGCGGTACGTTTTTGTGGACAGTAATCGGTGTTTAAACGGCCAATATACGGCGTACAATCTCTCACAAGATATAAAGACTGCAGATAGATATGAGCCGAATATAAAAATGGCATCGATGCATCTGAAGACCATAAGATAAAAGCCGTATTTTGCTGTCCAATGCTGATGGGCATGTCCAACAATGTAAATGTAAAAGGGTACAGAGAAGGTTCCCAACATCAAATCAGCAAACGCCATGTTCATAACTAGGAATAAACTTTTCTTACGAAGTCGTTTGGTAACCTTAAAGAGAACCAGAGTGAGCAAGTTTCCTGCAATGATAAGGACCAAAGATAAAATAAGAGCGCTGTATAGTGCGATCCCTTCTGCCTTGGAAGGTAAACTTCTGGTAAATGCAGATGTATTCTCCATGGTTTTGTTCACTGCCGACGAGTCAATTACTATTAACTTATCACTAAATGGATCACGGTAAACAGTTTTTTTTTCGGAAAAAAGGCGTTTTTTCAAAGGAGAGGAACTCAACCTTTTGCAACAACACCAAGCAACAAAGGCTGACAAGTTATTTGTATTTCGTGGTAATTATATTCAAGGAGTCACGTGATCCAGGAAGACACGACATTTTGGGTTCAACTAATATCGTCAATAAAAATGGAATTTCCGGCGTTTGAGTGGGTACGAATGAACCGGAAATGAAATGTTTCTGCGGCACGGGAGCAGTGGGGACTGTTGCAGTTGAAGTGCAGCATGGGTAGAATGGAGTGCTATAAAAGGGATGTTTATCA